ATTAGCAGTATTACAGTAATATTTCATTCACCGTATCTTCAATTTGCTAGTTCGTTGGTTCCTATGTTTTGAAATCTGTCGCCAAATTTTAAGCTTGGCGCCATGCTTTGGCCGCCCTTTCGGATACTACTTTTCATTCAAGTGCTATTTTTATTTTGTTATATTTTCTGTTGTTTGTTCGCAGCGGAGGAAATGTTGCAACTATGGTGAATCCGGAAAATGGTGCCACTTAATATATATATATATATATATATATATATATATATAAAGTGCCCCCCTGGGCGGATCAGTCAAAAGACGATTTTTAGCCCCATTTATCTTTCTGAAGTGTATGGGATTTGATATTTTAATTCACTGTTAACATCATTTAGCTGTTTAGGTAACGGTACTTCAAGAGAATTGATTTCTACGGCATCTTGTTCTAAAATTTACGCTGACAAAAAAAAAAAAAAAAAAAAAAAAAAAAAGCAAATTAACAGATTATTTTCCAAGTTCAAACAGCTTAGAAGAAAGTTTCTCTTATGGCAGCTTTATATGGTCTTCTATTCAAGTTTTTTCGTTACTTCTAGTGATAGAAGACGAATCTTGAAGCAATGTCGCTACAATTTGCCTACATCCTCTATTTCGATTAAAATCACAGTGATAAAGCACAGTGAGACCGTTACAACCTCTTTGATTAATAAACTGCGTAAGCAGAAAGAAGAAAGAGTTAAACTGTCTCTGAAACTGGATGAATGGACGAGTTCATTTGTCTCTGACACTGGATGAATGAACCAGTTTGGGAAATCGTCGCTTTATGAACGTAAACATGCACAGTACTATGTTAATCAATGAATTTATAATCTTTTGCCCAGCAAGAGTGATTGGCAGCATGTCAGCCAGAGCATGTTAACCAATGTTGAAAGACAGGCTATCCGCTTTTAAATTGTCATTGAAAGATGATATATAGTCTGCATAACAACTGACGGTGCCGCACTGTGATGAACGCATTAGGACGTGGAGCAGCGCTTTCCCATCAACAGTATCATGCTCACGGTGTTCAGCTGCCAATCTTAGACGTCATTTATAAAATAATATATTTTTTTTTTAAAAATCTCTTTAGCCTGTAGAAGACAACGTTTGTGACGATTCGGACTGTGATGATGATATTGACGCCTTGATTTCAATCAAAATAACGAATTTATTTTCAAAAATTTAATCGGGAAATTGCGAGAAATTGCAACAATTTTTTGCAAAAAATCCCCTATCAAAAATACGATTCTCGGGAAATACGGAAGTAATTGGTCGCAGCTTAATTTAATTTTAGATTGCAGCACAAGATGAAATACTATAGCAGATATGTTAGGAAGGATAATGAGACTAAATCATCCTATTTTAATATTTATTGGTAATGTCTGAAGTTATATATTTGTGTTATTGTTAAAAGATGATTAAAAATCAAACAGATATTTTCTTTAAATGCTTTTATTTCATTAATTAATCATCACCTCTAATCTCGGCACAACATTCTCTAAGTATTGACGATATCGAAAATATCAAAGCTATCGGGATTCCGGTATTCGTAAACTTCAATATCGAAAATACCGGTTGTGGTCAAAGGGGCCGGTTTTGTGACTCCTAATGGCAATGGGGTACAAGGATTGGCAGCACGTATCAACGAGTTCATTGGTGACTTCAGTAACAAAAAGACAGCGTTGGGGTGTAAGGGGTGAACGCCTAGGGTCGAACTATGGCAACATAAAGGCGATAAAAATCAATAATTGTGGATCATTTTACATTGCTAAAAGGGAACGTTTCTCCTAACATCCCAAATGCTAAAAATCAAGACAATATTTTGTATAGTTAAGGAATTTTATTTTTTAAATGAGGAACTTTAAATTTCCTGAAGAAGAAGAAAAATTAGCTGACACAACACCATGATAGGAATCTTTTAACCAGTTTGGGGGTGGGGGGGGCACTGTCAATATTTATATTGGCGTGGGTTTTCAATTGCTTATTGTGTAGACCCACGCTGTCAATATTCTTAATATATTATACACTGTCAAAGCCTGTGTGTGGAAAAAAGTTTTTGCTCACCACTAGCCGTTGCTTTCAACTTTAACTCCCCTCCCCAGTTTTCTTTTAACTGACGTCACCAATTCAACGCGTAGACCTGAAACATGAACCGTCCCTCCCTTGATTGGGAAAATGTTGTTAACGTTCTAATTAGTTCTACTTTCTTCTTTCTATGAATGCAGTCGGGTGATACAATTTCTAGTATGAATTATCCATTTGAGAAAGAGAGCAAACTAAGCTCATATGATTCTGTGACGTGAACTCTTGTCCATTCTTACATGATGATTGAGGGGGTAGCATGTTGGTCCACCTAAAGATATTGTTTTGTTTGTTTTTATCTTGAGAGTGGCTGGAAAAAAAAATCTGGTCGGCATTAACGAGAACTGAATTGTATTTCAATATTTCTTATGAGTAATACCGTTGTTTCTTTATTATTTTTTTTTTCATAAGGGAGTAGTAAATAGAAGTAAATGTAAAAAAAATTATTACAGGAAAGTCATTAAATGACGTTACAAAAGTTAATCTGCATTTAACCTGAGTAGATTAAAATGTCTCCTGGTTAGTTTTTCTAGAATTCCAGAGGGGAAATAACCCATTCTTTCATTCCAGAATTGTCAGCGTTTCTTTTACCTGTTATCTACCTTCATTTATAATTTGTACGTTGTTAAAAGATTTTTATTGTAAGTTGTTTGCATAAAATAGGGGGGGGGGTGTCTAAAACTATTGGTTGCCAGACAAAGCAGGCCCATCGATAATAATTATTAATATTTTAAGAAAGAATTGTGTGTAAAAAATGCAACACATCCTAATTATGTTGAACAGCATTGCTTAGCACGATGACGATACATTAGTTATTAGGTGAATGAGTGAACGCTGCGTGTCGACCGCCCATATCGTTTATTGTTGGAAGCTATTTAGATATAAGAAGACTTTGAAGCAAATTTGAACAGCAAAAACGTATTCTGATTCTGATAGGGTGATAGGCTGATAGGCTGATAGGCTGATAGGCTGATAGGGTACGTTGATGCAGTCATGTACTAGCATATGTGCAACGGTTTGGGAAACGATGCGGCCATCATAACGGCTCCTAGCGGGTGCCAGCGCAGCCTTGAAACACTCGATTGATGTCGGGTCCACGGCGGCATTGTCCAGTTTGTTCCAAGCAATTATTGTTCGTGCGAAGAATGATTGTTTATAATGGATTGTTTGTTACACTGAGGCACAGTCAGCCCCGTTCTTAGGCATACGCTGACTATGCATCCGCGTAGGGCCCCGAACGTGAGGGAGCCCCTGTGAGGCGCCCTCGATCCCCCTGTTTTTTACTGGCACTGCAGCCGTCTGTGTCACGTCATCTTCCTCATCCTGAAATAAGTGCCACCAGAGGCATTCTTAGGCTTATAGGCAAACTAAGCAACGGCCTAGGGCCCCACTACCACCTGCATGTCCATATATTTCAGAAGTACACATTTTCTCTAGTGGCGGAATTATCAATATGGTTAGTGGTTACACGCGAGCAAAGAGAAAACATTGATGAAGGCAGAATGGAGATGCCGCAGTGGTGGGTGCTGTTTTCTCATCAGCTCGAGATAGCTCCACCCCCGGACCCCTCCCCCTTCCGGTTCCCTCAACCTACGCTCCATGCTTAGGGTCCCCAAACTCCTAAGAACGGCTCTGGCACAGTGAAGCATTTACTATTGTTCCTGATATAACTGCTCATTGAGTTGTGAGAGGTGAAATTGTTTTTTTAGCGTTTGGCTCTGATTAAGCGACCTTTAGGCGACACAGTGGACTAACGTAGACGTCGAATGCAGTCTGAGTCTGGGCTTATTTTTCGATCTGCGTGTCCCTGCTTATTATAGAAATGAATATCTCGGCATATTCCTAATATCCGCTTCTATCATAACAGATTTAAGCTTCTACTGCGAATGGTAATAGTACAAAAAAAACAACTAAAAAACAACATAGCAAATGAAAACAAAAGTGTTAATAGCACTTAACAAAATTATACTGAACACAAATTATAACAAGATGTCAAGCAAAAGCAGAAAAGAAAAAAAAAATCTGACCCGACACTGACAGTCCTGATTTTCAGTAAATGAAGAAACGTTAATATCAGTCTGAGAACGGACAAAATCCAGATAATTTTTTTTTTTTTTAATTACCTTATATAATTTTAAATTCTTAATAACCAATATTTTATTGGGCCTGAGGCTGAACTTGAGCTGGGGGGTAAGGGCAGGCAAGGACTTCATTTGGGTTGGGCAGCGTGGGGCATTTGCGCCCCGACCCCCTTTCCTGAATTTGTAGGTTTTATTCAAATTTCTATGTAGGCCTACTGTTGCGCCTAATAAACAACTTAACAAGCCGTCCAAGTTTTGAATTTGCCCCCCACCCCACCCCTGAAAAAAACAAGAAATTACTCCCCTGGGGGTAGGCCAACTCACATAGGCTATCGGTTATGACATAATGAATGGTAATTAATAACAATACAGTACTAAAACTAAAAGACTAGATTAAAAGGAATTTAATTACAATTATTAGCGTTAAGAAAATATTTTTTTCAGCAAAAACGCTACTTTACCAGCCAAGTAAAAATTTCAAAATTAAAAAATAAAAATGAAATCGCCAGTTACAATAATAATTGTATAATATAATGAAGGGTAATTAATACACCTTAAACAGTACTTAAACTTAAACTAAAAGACTAAACAAAAAGGAATACAAATTACAATTATTTATATTAGCTTTAAGAGCTCTATTTATTTTCCTTTTTAAAGTTAAATTAATTAGAAACTATTTTTCAGCAAAAACTCAACTTTACCAGCCACTTTTTTTAACGTTGGTTTTAAAAAAAAAAAAAATGAAAACGCCAGTTACAAGGTAACTTACATACGTTTTTGTTTCCTCAATATAATGAATGTGAGTTTTACAGCGAGTCTAAATTTAGAAGACAAAATGGCGGAATGACAACAATGTTTTATTTTTCTGGACTACTACGCCTAGATCTTTTCGTTTGCCATGTTCAGTAGAAGAAAGTTATACAGAAAGGAAAGTGTGCGTTGAAACCTGGCTGAAATTTGGCCATGGACGATCCAGAAGTAACATTACAAGAACAAATGTTCCACAACGCAGTGAGAGAACTCATTGTGAGTTCAGCGCGTATATGTAATCTTGTGTATTTAGAGCTAATAGATTATGTAGTGATGTAGTTGTAGTGTAGACTAGTGAAGTCATACTACTACTAATAATAGTGGGCCCATGTGGAACTAGAACTGACATAGGCAATTACTGAAAAATCTACAGAATAGTATATACATCACTGAAAACTAAGAGTGAAGTTATTGCCTACACAGAATAAGAGAGTCAAGAAGTGCTAGCTAAGTCTAAGTCTCTAAGTGCTCTGTAATTCAGTAAATCATCTAAATCTGTTCAGTGATTTACTTAAATTTGAAGTTGGTTAATTAACTTAATTTTTATTAATTAGTTAATTAGTAAATTAAATACTAAATTAGGCCTAGATCTATTACTATTAACTTAATGTATTAAGGCTAAGTACTACAAACAATTTAATTTAACAAAGTTAAAGTTTTAGTGGGACTTCTTACACCTCTCACCACTGACTAACTTACACTTTTTTATAATTTATAGCATTTTTATGGGCTTATTATTATTTAGACTTAGTAGAGGCAAAAAAATTCCCCGCTCTGCCTTTTCCCCAAAGTAGTAGCCCAACAAAGAATTCTGCAGTGAACCAAAATACATCCCCTCATGACTTTGATTGAATGAATAGAAAAAAAGTGCCACCACTGGCATAAAATAAAAATATAGGCCTAAATAATGATATTGTTATTACAATCAGTAGGCTAATAGTAATAATTTTCCCAACGCTGAATAATTAATCTTAAATCCCTGCATGTCAAGACCAAGGTTCCATTCTTTTACTAATAAAAATGGAAATAGGCCCCTTTTATCAATTAATTATTATTTATACTATTTTAATGGGCAAGTGTTTTTATATTAAATATGATGAGAAATGACTGGTTGGGTGTGTTGAGCCTTAGGAAACTTCAACTTCTGAGGGCTCAATTTGTCATTGTGGCGATTTTCATGCACAAATAATCAACACTTACTCTTTTTTCAAACTCACATGTTTTATTTTTTAAAAGTCATAGCTGAAGCACTACGAAAGCTAGTTGATGTTTGTTTGATTTTGTAAAAAAAACTGTATGATATTATACTTGTTTTTTTCCCCAAAAAACTATAAATCTAATTTCATCCTAAACTGAGCAAATGCATATGAATTAGCCATGGCCTTGGGTGCTTTGCACTTTACCTGTTGTGTAATATGATTTAGAGTGTGTGTCGCCCAAAACACTGGCCTATTAAATATTATATCACCAAAGTCACAGATTTTTTTTTATCCCTAGTTGATTTATTTTAAATATGCTTATAAATCATTATTGAAATTGAAAATGCTTTGAAATGGGATAAGTTTCAGTCTAGTGATGCTGAGCTGCGTGTTGTCTATGGAGGATGATAAAAAAACAATAATATAATTCTATGTTAGTTGCCAGTAATCAATATTGAATTTTCTCTTTAGATTTCTTTGCTGCTCTTCATCTCACTGTATGTCCTTTCATATGTGACTTTGTGTCAGTTCAGAAGGAGGGCTGACAATGAAGACATGTATGCAGGTGAGAGGGATTTTTTTTCTTGCAGTTGGCATGGTCCACTTCATGGTATAAAAATTGAAATTCCCTAAACTAAACAGTTTTCATTTTTCTACATTGCCTTAAAAGAAATATGCAAGTTAAAATTAGCACTGTGCACTTCAAGAAATATAAAATCAACAACCATGTTTATTTTTATCAGCATTTTTTTTGTTAATAATTGTATTTCCTTGATTGTCGAGCATTGTTGAAGAAATATGTATTAGAAATTTTAAGAATACAAAATTACAATAAATAGTAAGAAAATATTTACTTAAGTGTAAATTTAACACTGTATTGCAATGGTTTTAATATACCTTTGTAAAGTATTTAATTTTACCTTCTGCATACATTTGTTTTTAACGATTTGGTTTCATATTTATTTTCATTCGTTTGGAGATTTGATTATAATTATGTTTTTCCAAAGGTGAAGAGGATGCAGCTGTGTACAGAATATCGTAAGTCGCATAGTTTTTGCACATTTAAATTTACATATATATGTGTGTCTTATAACACTGAATCTACTTCGAGTGAACATTATTATGGCTCATATAGTACTTTTTTCTTTTTCCTTATTTTATTTAATGATTGCTAACTTTAAAAAAAAGTCACATTGGTATCGGTATCAAAATGTTTCCTTGTGTGTATCTTAGAAATATTACGCTTATGTGAATGAGTTTGACCCATAGCAAGATTTTTTTTATGCTCAGTTAAATTGTTAATTTTTTTCTCTCCTGCAGTCTATGGCTGTGCACAGGTACACTCTCCGTTTCAGTTGGTGCTGTTTTGTTGTTACCCATATCAATCATCAGCAACGAAGTCCTTCTCCTGTACCCAGACAGCTATTACATAAAATGGTTGAACTCATCACTTATACAAGGTTTGTTGTTCTTTCCTTTAGCTTTTTTGTTCCTCTCTCGTGTATGTGCAATGTTTCTTAAAATATTTGTAATGACAATAACAACCCAGGACATTATTAGCTAACATGTGAACAGCCGCAGGATGCCACGATTTATATTGAATGACTAACACCACTTAGTTTTAATTCTATGGCAGAGAAACTTTAATAATATTCAGATAGGGGTAGAAATAATAACAGACAAATTTGCCCAACCACCTGTTGAATAAAACGAATCAATAAATATAGTGTACTGTTCCATAATAGTATTGATCGCTTTTTTTTTTTCCTCCTCCATCTAAATATAAAAGTTTCTTACTCTTGTTTGTTTTTTGTTGTTGTTTTTTTTTTCCTTTTACTCCCATGACTCATGGGTTTAGCAATGTGACACTGTTTGTCTTCCTGAATAATTGAAAAGCCAAGCTGATGATGTGATAAACTGAACTACTATTACCAGACTTAGCAAAGCTTAACATAAATTACCTTATTCAATGTATTATTTCTTGAGTCTCTAGCTTAATTCACAAATGAGAAAATTTTTCTTTGAAGGCCAGATAGTGTTAAAGTGTTGTTTAATGTCTTTGATGAACTGAGTAACAAGTTTTTAATCTCTGTTTCAGGTTTATGGAACCATGTGTTTTTCTTTTCAAATCTTGCGCTGTTTATCCTAATGCCTTTTGCTTATTTTTTCACTGAGGCTGAAGGATTCTCTGGATCACGCAAAGTAGGCTATTACACCTGGACTCTCATCATTCCATCATAGATGTATATGCCCCAGTGTATCTTTTAAATAACTGTATACGTTCAAAAGAATTAGAAAAATGATTATTCACATTTGTAGACAAAATGAAGCATGTTTTTAATACATTTCTCAAGAAATATGCTGAACATGTTAGTGGCTTGCCATTATTTTTAGTTAAATTATGTTTGATGGTTTTTAAATTGTAAAATTAATCTTTTAATAAATAAAAGTCTGCCAATAATTTGCCGTGAAATATAAATGGAATAAACATATTACCTTTTTGGGAATTTAAAAAAAAAATGTAATTGTGTGAATTTTACTTTTAAATTTTTGTGTCATCCAGGGTCTGATGTCCAGAGTTAAAGAGGCTTCCCTGGTGTTATTTCTGCTTGGCATCCTTGTTCTAGGCCTGGCCTATGTGGCCTCTGCAATGATTAGTGGAGATGAGAAAACCAAACAGACCTTGTCAGGTACGATGACCCACTCAGTTAGTTGATCAGATGTAAATAAGAATGTTTTAAAGGTGTTTATTTTCTTGCTTGATCAATTTGTTACGTATGTGAAAGTGTCAGCTCACTAAATTTTATTTACGAAATGAGGCTTGCAAATATAAGTATTGAATTATTTATGGCAGTTTCAAAAGACCATTTAATTTTGATCTTTCTAAACTTATTTTCTATTTAGATAGCTTTTTTTTAGCCTCTAAAAGATATAAGCACAAATAATAGATAATAACTTTGAATGTAAATAGTTATTTTCCTGATTTCAACATGTCTTCTATTGTATTTTACCCCAAATAGACTGCATCCTTGAATTGAACAGTAGAAAATGTGTGGGTAGGCTGTTAACAATTTTCTTTTATGCATTTCCCACTTTTCTTCTTGAAATAAACTGAAACGTTTTGTGTTAAGTTTTGAATTGTTGTTTCCTTCCTGTTTCTTTTTTGTAACTTGTATTTCGCTACCTCCCCCTTCTCCTGGCCAGAGAGTTGAACACTGTCACTGATGACTTCATTACGTTTCTGTTCTATTTGCCAAGGCTTTGAAATGACTGGCTTACTACAAAATAGACACAAAATTACCTATACATTTTTTGCACTTGTTCTTGATTGCCAACACGGTTCTTCTATGTAAACATGTACCATCTGTACACTTTATTTCTTCATTGGGTTAATTTGGCAGATTATCCGTAAGCTGAGCTGAATTATAATTTCACATAGCATCAGTTGCTAATCTGGATGCTGTCCATGGTGAGATAGGGGTAGATAATGCTTGGGTGGGTGAAGTCAAACTTTTCCCCAATTGTTGTTTTTAAATGTATGTGTTTCTGTAATTGCTAATTTTTATGTGAAGTGAGCCTAGCCTAACCACCTAATAATAATTATAATATTTTGACCTATTTAGAAACATTGTACACAAAAAATATATACGAAATTGTTTATTGGTTATTTTGTTCTTCATTTAACTATTACTCTAGTACACTTTTCAGTTTTCTTTTCCTTTACACCACCCACCTCGGCTCAGTGCTTTGAATGTTTTTCAAAGAAATTACTCATCCTATTTATGGTGGTCATAAAAAAAAAACATGACTCTGGACAAATCAGTTTCAAAAGAAAAGTGCACCCAAGTCAGATCATGAATTTCAACTCAATAAATGATAATAAATGAAGGGCCATGTTCAAGCTGTGTGAAGGAAAGAGTGGAACAAGGTATGTGGGTGGTTGAAATATAAAGACAGGACTATAAAAAAAAAAAAAGGATGCTTCAGCCTAGAGCCTTCCTCAACAGACATGACAAATGAAGAAACAACAAGAAATAGAAAAGGGTTCATAAACTTAGGTGTTGGTCACTAATCAATTGCAGGAATAACACGTAATGGTGAACACTTAAGTTTTTGAATTAATTTCTATTTCTTACTGTTTTTTCATCAGTCCTGTCTGCTGAGTAAGGCTCTTAGCCGAAACACTCTTCTTCTATTGTCCTGTCTTTCTATCTCAAGCTTCCACACAGACCTTGTTTCTTGTTCTTGCTTCCAAGCTGCTAAAATGTGTATCGCGTAAAATGTTAAAAAGTATGACTGTGGTGATTATCAAACAAGCTGCTGTACACACATTTTTTGTGTTAACAAACGTGCTAATAGTTGGCATACATTATGTTATTGATGATTTAACTATGTCTTGACAACTAAACATTTACTGTTATAACTGAGAAGCACAAGTATTGCTGAACTTTTTTTGGCACAGAAACTCTCTGTCCCACTGAGCCCTTTCTGCCCTCTTCCTTAATATTTACCCTGTTTTCATGAGTGTGTATTCATCTGTAAATCATTGAATGCCCTTGCCTAATTTTACCCTGTTTTAATTACAAAAGCTTACTATGTAATTTATAAAGAAAGACCATTCAAATTATTTTTGTAGTGACACTTAAAGTATCAATTAGATGTGCCACTTTTTAAATGCAATATTATCTTGTGTAACAATAGTAACATCTCCTGTTATTGGGCTGTGTGTGAATCGAGGCAGCTGCCACTGGAAAAAAAAAAGCATTCCTTGATTCCTGTATTGCATCATTCTGCAATTAAATTATTTAATCTTTTAGTCTTATTTTTTTAATTATCTTTATACAGATCTACAATATAAATGTCCAATAGGAAAACTAAAGTAGCTCAGAGTCATAATTTAAAAAAAAAAAAAAAAAATTCACATAGTTATTTCTATGACGTTTTGATGCCTTGCAAAAGAAAAAAAAAAATATTCTAGAACCTAAGTGGCATTCCCTAATTGATGTCACACTATTTTGACCCTCCTCCTCCCATCATCACTAATTTGTCACAAAATTTACACACCCTCACTAACATCCTTAAAATATGGTAAACCAACCCCCATTCCCAGTTGTGTGAAATCATTTAGGAACGGCCCCTTATACAAGACAGGGAGCAAATAGTAATAAGTGTGTGGAGTTTCATAGTTGAACCTTATCAGATATTTAAAGAAAAACTGGAGACACCAGAAGCAAAAAAAATGTTAAACTGGCCCTACTTTTGTCCTTTGAAGATTCTTGACTTTGCCTTACTAACGATACACTATCATGGTTACATTTAAAAGAAAACATTTTGAATGGTCTGCCATCTCCTTATCTTTACTTAAAAAGTCTTTGTTATTTAGAGTTGATAANGGCTTAAAAAAATTGTGACTGGAATAGTGGGTTTTCGTGATTTTTTGTTTTATTATTTTGGGGATGAAAGGAAATCCCCCCCCCCCCTTTTTTTCTCCCCCAAAAGTTGAACTTTTTAATTTGTTTCAATCAATTTGGGGGAGCTTTAGAGATATTGTTATATTTTGTCTATACCATGATTAAATCTAAAAAAAATTATACATTACAAGCATTAAGCTGAATGGTGAAAATGAAGTGGCACAAAGAATAAAAAAAAAAGATTAATTTCAATGTAAAATGGCTGAAGTTACAGAGACGTTAAATTGAGTTAATAATGGTGTTTGGGAAAAGTGGATGTCTATCAAATATCATACAGCTACAATCATTACAGTTAGTGCAAATACATTTTGAATGCTATGTATTAAATCGTCGAGCCCATCCTCATAATAGGATGGATGCCTGTTGGCAGAATGTTATATAGATTTACTCCATGTAGCTTACGTCAACAGCATTCATAAAACTCTGAAGTTACGATCCAGTAGCTTTGCCAGCAGTTTATATCTGTATTTAATTTTCTCATCAGCCATACTAAGACCAAAGAACTATTTGTATTGCCATGATGCTAGGAAAGGTCTTACTCTGGTGGTCGTTTTGTGGATTTAAAACTGTTAAAGAGTGTTCAAGCCCAGGTTATCACATTAACAGTGTCTTTTTTTTTTTTCTTCAAATTTCAGATGTCTGGCACGAACACCTGCCCTATTTATATTCTTGTATATCTTTCATTGGTGTTCTTGTTCTACTAAGTAAGTGACCTAGACCATGTTTAATTTACTACTGCAAAAGATTTTTGGCACAAAGATTAGATTTCCAGAGGGGTACATGTAAAAAGGGGAGGAGGGGTGGCGGAGAGGTTCCTAACCTGTGATATATTCATTGGCTTTCTGTTGAAGCAGTGTATGCCTATAGTTATTTGAAACTATTCACCTCCATAGATGTGTCAAACCCTTAAATGCCATTTGCTTTTCTGAAACTAAATACTAAATGACCCTTCCTGGGGATCCATATGTATCAAATTAAGTGGATTTTTAAAAAAAATTAACAAATTCCATGAAGCCAGTCTTTGGATTTCAGTTTAAGAACCACTGTTCCAGACTTTTATTTCACAGGCATATTTACAACCAGCAATATAATATCAATACCTATTATTTCAGTGTGCACTCCTGTAGGCGTGGCTCGAATGTTTACAGTCATGGGTCAACTTATAGTAAAGCCTCAGGCAAGTTGCTTAAGTGCAAAAGAAAGCTATCACATTAACATAACAAATATTTTTGCTGATCAATGCTTCTTCCTTTTTTTTCCCCATGGTTTTGTGAATGTATTTTGCTCATAATGCTAAGTTTCAATAAATTTTTAACTTTTTTTTTATATATATGAAAGTTTCTAATTAATGCCATTTAAAAAAAAAAAAAAAAATAAAAAAAATTTAAGTGCAAAAGAAAGCTATCACATTAACCTAACAAATATTTTTGCTTATCAATGCTTCTTCCTTTTTTTTCCCCTTGGTTTTGTGAATGTATTTTGCTCATAATGCTAAGTTTCAATAAATTTTTAACTTTTTTTTTATATATATGAAAGTTTCTAATTAATGCCATTTAAAAAAAAAAAAAAAAATTCGAAACATATTTATTTGAATTATGTTTTAAAAACATGTCTGGTTCTTTTCATCTTCACAGTTTTTAAGAGGCATTGAAGAAGAGTTAAATACATTGCGATTAGATGAAGAAAATTTGCTCAGAAAAATCACATATCGAAATGGTAAAATGCAATTTTGTCTTTAAGAAAATGTTACAAAGAGTTTTATTTATTAATTAAATAACAATTATAATATAAATAAAAATATGGAAAAAAAATAAATTTTTCTTTAAACTTTGGTTAAGTATGTTTTATCTTTGTGTACGTCTGTCTATCAGGGCCTTGTCAGATATCCAATGGTCATGGTCATGCCAGTATAGAGTCTCTTATGGAGACTTTAGAAGACAAGAGAAAAGCTATTCAAAAGCTGGGTAAATATTTCAGTTTTCGTTTACTATTTTCTATCATAGTTATAAGTTAAATGAATAAGATCCCAAACTATTTAATTTTTAATAAGTTAAAATGCAATGACATCTTTCCGAAATGAATCCGGATCAAATCATTCTCATTAAAATGTTGCACCATTTTTATCTTGATAAAAATCAATAATATAAAAGAATTCACTTAATAACACTGTAGGTTTAGTTCTGTAAATATATTAAAATACCATCTGAATCAATTTCAGAGAAGTTAAAAGATTTTTTTTTAAATTACCGGCCATTTTTCTAAATGTATGGTTTATTAATTTCTTAAAACTAATTAATTCATTAAAAATGTTAATTTCTTTTTTTATTTCCTTTTTTTAAAAAAAATTATCCACAGAAAGCCGCCAGCACATCTCATTTTGGAGGAGAAATCTTTGTTATCCACTTGTCATGTTGTTATTACTTGCCATCACAGTAAGTCATTGATAAATACTTATGAGTACTAGCCTTCATGATAGGTAAGTAAGACATAGTTATAGAACATGAAATTGGAGTACCTGTGTATACAGCTCATAATTATGAGAGTCAGTACTTGCCATCAAAGTCAGTACATTCCACACACCTATCACAAATGCACCAAGGTTGTCAACCAGCTCCTTGAGTGCTGGTGTCTGGTTGGGCACCAGAGCACCATTGAACCCTGTCCTGTTTTGGGCAGTGTAATGAGAGGAACGTGACTATGCAGCTCGTGTGAATGGGTTAGGAAATTTATTGAAAACAAAGTATGGAAAAAACCCTGAAAAAAAAAGGAAATCAACGAACGTGTCGGCAAGAAGCCTTCATCAGCGAACAAACAACAGTAAAACAACAAAGATAGCATCATCTGAAATGTAGTATCGGAGAGGGCAGCAAGTGGACTGTGCCGATGCGGTCTTTGTTTTGTTGCATACCTTTTTTTCAAGGTTTCCTATTCTATATTTTCATTAATTTCCTTTTTTGCTAACCTGATTGCAGTCTCTCCCTTTATTGGTAGTTAATCTAACAAAAAAACTCTGGTGGTTTCATGATTAATGCTTAAATTAAAAATTATTTCAATTTATGACCTATCCCTGTTTTAACTTTACAGGTATTCAGCATACTCATTGTGCTCCAGAACACATTTCTGTTACTTGTAGGAACTAAAGCATTGCCCAAGGGTGCATCTGTGAGTTGTTTTTTTTTTTTTTAATTATTATATTTAATTGAAATATCAATATATTTCCATTTCAAAATTTTAATTAGCATTATGCTGATGAAAAAGATTCTCTTCCCCATCACAAACGAATCAAATAAGTTCCATTCATGTCACAACTGGCTGAGTATATGAATATTTGATTTTTCCCCAGGATGCTGTACTTGGCATATCTTCGTTGTCATCTTTCGGCTCCATTGGCGCAGCCCTCCAAATAGTTGTGATATTGTATCCTTTACTGTTGTCTCATCTGTAAATGAATTGATCAGGCTTTGTAACAAACTTGCAATTTGGGGCAATTGCATTTCATAACTTGGATTTTCATAAATGTATTTTATTTTAATGTCATAATTATGTCTCTTGATAAAATTTTTATGTACAGCGCGGTGAGCCCAGCCCTAGGCTGGGGTACAGCGCTATATAAGACGTCTTATTATTATTATTATTATTATTATTATTATTTTATATATGCTCACTGGTTACTTTCTACAGTGTAAATATTTTCAGTGTACTAACAGCTACAAAATAGCCTTTTTAAGAAAGCCCAAAGCTTAAAGATAATGTGCTAATAGTTATACTAGCTGTGGAAATCCATCTCTTTTCATGGTAATAAGTGGCAAGGTTAGTTCATATTATTTGGGGGGGGNGGGGGGGGGGGGGGCCTGTATGTTAAAGCTGTAAAATATTCCTGAACTCTTGATCTCCAGATATCTAATGGTAGCATCAGTTGTTGGCTTCTATAGTCTGCCTTACTTGCATAATCTTCAACCAAAGCGAGTTGATACATCCATGGTGAAGATCATTATGAACTGTGTTGTTATACTTCTGCTCAGCTCAGCCCTGCCCATTTTATCCAAGACCTTAGGTGAGTCTCTGGTTGTCCTATTTTATCCAAGACCTTAGGTGAGTCTCTGGTTGTCCCATTTTATCCAAGACCTTAGGTGAGTCTCTGGTTGTCCCATTTTATCCAAGACCTTAGGGGAGTCTCTGGTTGTCCCATTTTATCCAAGACCTTAGGTGAGTCTCTGGTTGTCCCATTGTATCCAAGACCTTAGGTGAGTCTCTGGTTGTCCTATCTTATCCAAGACCTGATATAATTCTGTCAATAATAATAATGAAATTGTCAAGGAAACTATCGAAGAACTTATTCAAGTTGGCAAATTACCCGCGTCTGCTTCAAACTTACGTTTTTATGACAGTGATCTTGGTAAACCATGCTTGTATTTGCTACCAAAGATTCACAAGGAGGGAAGTCCAGGAAGACCTATTGTCTCAGCTTGTTCTTGTCCTACTGAACTGATTTCGGAGTTTTTGGATACAATTTTCCAGCCCATAGTTGAAAATTTACCATCGTATATTAAGGATACTAACCACATGATCAAATCTCTCGAGTCCTTGGTTTTACCTAATGAAACCCATTTACTTTTTACAATGGACGTTTCTTCACTGTACACCTCAATTCCCCTCACAGGTGGACTCACCGCAATTTCATTTTTTCTGAATACGAACCCTAATCCCAATTTTCCAACAAGTGCCATTGTACGTTTGACTGAATTGGTTCTACAGCTTAATTCGTTTGAATTCAATGGCGAATTTTTCGATCAGATCAGTGGTGTTGCTATGGGAACGAAAATGGGACCAAGTTATGCATGCTTATTTATGGGCCATTTGGAACATCTTTGGAGAGAACACTACCAAGGTCCTTTCCCAGAATACTACAGAAGATACATTGATGATTGTATAGGGATTACTAATATGGACATAACACAACTAGAAAGTTTTATTTACTTCATTGGAGATTTTCATCCAACAATTAAATTCACTTCAATGATCCATAAAAGCACCATTAATTTTTTGGACTTACGAATTAACCTTCATGAGAACAAAATATCTACGTCCATTTTTTATAAACAAACGGACAGTCATAGCTTCTTGCTATATTCATCATCCCATCCTCAATGGTGTAAAAACTCCATCCCATTTTCTCAGTTGCTGAGACTCAGAAGATTATGTAGTAATGATGAAGATTTTGGAGAAAGAATGTCTGAAATGTTGGATTTTTTCCGACACAGATTATACCCCGAAGAAATTTTAAAAGCAGCTGTCACTCGGGTTAAAGGTATGACTAGACAGGCCTCTTTTAAAGCTACTCATTCTGACACTAGCGATAGGTCTAAATTTATCTTAAGTTTTCATCCCCACAACTTAAAAGCTCGCTCTCTGGTTCTTAAAAACCGCTCAATTCTTATGGCGGACCCTGTCACAAATGAGATTTTTAGAAAACCTCTTTTCGCTTTCTGGCGGGACAAGAGCCTTAGGGACATGCTAGTTAGAAGCCACCTCCCTGCTATTAAAGCACATAAAGGCACAAAAAGTTGCAACTGTAGCCGTTGTAACTCATGTCCCTACGTGATCGAAACTGATACGATCACTTTCCCCCTGGGAGTATTCAGAATAAAAGATGGCTTTACCTGCACAAGTCGAAACGTGATTTACACCATTATTTGCAAAAAGTGCGGTAAACTATACATAGGAGAGACAGGTCGTCGCCTTGGGGACCGTTTCAGAGAGCACCTCTATAACATAAATAAACACGCTCTCTGTCCGGTCTCCAAACATTTCAATAGCCCTAACCATAATGGTATCTCAGATATTGTAGTTACTGGTATACTCTATACTAGTAACACTGCAGATAGAATCTATATGGAGAACAAATTAATAACTAGATTTGGTACGTTGTCTCCATATGGATTGAACCATGGATTGAACCAAATCCATAGTTTTACTTAGCTGCCATGTCTTTTTCCTGTTTGGTTTTTCCAATTATGTTAAAATCACTTCCTTTCTACTTCTCTTTACTTTGTTTTTGTCTGGTTTTAGCGCCCTCTCCTATAAAAAAAAATTTTTTTTTTTTTTGTTGTTGTTTTAGGTAGGATATGTATATTGATATTATGTAAATTTAATTTATACTTATTTAAATGTGTTTTGTTTGTTTGTACTGATGAAGGCATGTGCCGAAACGTTTAATTGTGTATAATGTATAATTATTATTAAAGCTAACTCATATTGTTCTATTGACACAATTTGTTCGTGTCTTATTATTCTATAATTCTGTGGTTGGCTCATTTAATCCAAGACTTAATATAAGTCTCTGGTTTGTCAATGTTAACAAAAGATCAGTTTTTTTAAAAATATGTTTGATTACGCTAGCGTGTGAAGGGAACTAAATTTAAACAGAAGCTTCATTAGCAGTACCCTAGTGTGGTTCAATATAGAGATCAGCCCATAATTACAATATACTAACAATGTTAACCACTGTGATCCTATATTAATAGTAATGCAGTAGTTCTCAAAACTCCTGCATTTGGGTGGGGCTGTTGGCTCCATGAAACTTCTGGGACCAGATTGAAATAATCCTTTTTTTTAAATTGTATTTTATTATTGATTCTCATCTGCACAATTACGTTGTTTGGTGAGCAAAACAAAAAAATAAATTGATAAGTACAAAAAAAATGCAATGAAATTTTGTGAAATTTAACTAATGTTTTTCTTTTGATATTTTAGGAATACAAGGCAAAAATCTAATCATATTAATGTTTTACCGCTTCCCACAGGTATTACGAACTTTGACCTTGTTGGTAACTTTGGTAGTATGGACTGGCTGGGGAACTTCTACATCATCTTATTGTACAACATACTCTTCGCCGTGTCCACCGCCCTGTGTCTGTTCACCAAGTTCACCGGCACAGTGCGCAGGGAGATCTATGACAGGCTCAAGGCCGCCTTCCAGCAGGGCAAGAAATCCTCTCAGCTGTCCCACGGCCACAGCTTCAACAACTTGACCAATGGCAAGATGGAGAACATGAAGGAGGAGTGAATCAAGTCTTTCAGGTGTTTTTGGATTTATATGGAGTCTTTACCTATCAATGCAATTTTTATCTTCAACATGGACCTGTGTTGGATGGCGGTAAATTTTGACTGTCACCAGTGAGTTGATTGTGTGTTGTGACGTCATTGAGTATAGATAGGCGCTATGCTTAAATGTACGTGATATGCTTGACTGGTGAGGTTTCAACCATTGAGATACCAAAGCTGGATGCATGTTCGCATAGTAAAAAACTGTTTTTTAATGTTTCAATACATGTACTACAGTATTATGATGATTACTCATGGCCTTTCTATAATGATGGGACAATCTTAGGTACGTCTGATTATCTCGTCTTTTTTTATCAATTCAACCAGATCATTTGAGTCCACTAACTTCGAGACAGTAGTTATATTTGACTGCAGTCAAGTTTAATGTAAAATATGGCCACACATCTTTCTAATGTTATCCAAATTATTTTCTTGAGCTTTGCCAGTTGAGAGATAAAAAAATTCAATAACATCAGATGCTGTTTCCAATGTGATTCAATTGAAATGTAGTAGATCTGTAGATTGATCGTGTCATTAGTAGTATTATAGACAGAGTTATATCACATGAGTTCTTCATTACCACTTTCAATTTTTTTTTTAAATTTAAATAAAGCCTCTGTTCACCAGTTTTTCCCCACATCAAAAATGACAAAAGCATTCTGATTTCACTATATCTGTATTTTTATAATTGGGCCAGTTGATACGTTTTTTGTTGATGACATATTTGAACAATGTGCAATCGCTTTCTGTCCCAAAGGGTTTTCCAAAGTTTATCTGTGAATTAATTGTTCACCACAAGCAATGTCATTGTGTCATCCTTGGACGGTGTGTTTTTCATTCCACACAACGTCTGAGCTGATGCAATATCTCAACAAATTTTTCAAGTCATAAATTTGAGAGTTTTTTGATTTTGAAAATGTGCTTTTAAAACATTTTTGAATTTTTTTCCACCCTTTTGTGGAACCACAATGGTGGAACTACTCTGCAGTACGCAATCAACCATGTTAGCAGGCTGCATCTGTTCTTGGCTGGATTTAGTTAAAGAACAGTATTATTTCAAAATTTTAAGTGTTAAAAGCTATACATTTTTAAGGGTAGAAATAGAAAAATAATGTTCTTGAAGTGGGTTTTATTTTGTAATATAAACAATTTATAGCTACAAGTTGTGTTTTCTTCTTTTTTGAGTTGTTTAAAACACAACTTTGAAAACTAGCTTTTTGTAATTGAATAGAAGATTCCCGTGAGTTATATTAAACTAAGTTAATAATATATCCTTTTAATTTTAATTATTTCAATAAAAAAAAAAAGTTATATTTTTTCAACTCAGTCAAGTTAAGCATTTAATTCTTGTCTTCCCCTGGATGTTAATGTGTCTAATTATATCTTCACGCTTAAAATATCTTTCAGATACATAGAAAATCTCCATATATCACAGATGTGATCAAATAATAACTTTCCATATATTTGGTCCGGCTCAGATTATCCTGTATTTTAACAGCCTTTGAATTTATTCATTTCACATTCACAGCAGTCTGTGCTGCTATCTCTCAGTGTGATAAAAATGTTTTTATTTTGATTAATACCTTTTTGGCTTAAATTTTATCAGATGTATCAGATTCTTCCATGTTCTATTCTTAATTAGAGCATATGGAGACAATATGCAATACCATAGAGTTCAGTTTTCTACTCAGAGTTTCACTCACATTATGAAAAAAAAACAAGGAAAAGGATAAGCATTTCTGTACTGTGGTGGCTAGTCTACCTATGTTTTCCATACTTGGAAAATTGGACAGGCCATGAGTGTTTCATATTTTGAGACAACTTGTTTTGATAAGATGGGTCAGGCCATGTCAGGATGTGGTGACTGTAGTAAAAAAAAAAAAAAAAAAAAAAAAAAAAAAAGGTAAACTTTTGTAATGTTTCTGTTGTACATCATTGGCTTGAGATGTCCTTATAGATATTTATATGTATTTGCTGATTGAAATGTTGCATGTAAATTTAAAGTAGGCCAAAAGATTACTGACAAAGTACTTAAACATTTTGTTACCTATTTATTATTAACACACTGCTTTGGATAAGAATAACAATGTTTGAACACAATTGCAATTTTATTGTCATTGACTACTTCAGAGAGGTGATAAATAATTTTCATAAATTAACTTTTTTTGGTTTATTCCTTTAAGATATGACATGATAAACTGATGTCTAAAAATGGTCCATCATATTTTAATGGTCTGTCATCTTATGGCTTAATCTTTTGATCCATGAAGCTTTTTTAATGATTTTTTTGTTAACATTTTTTATTGGTGTCAGATCATCAGTGTCAAATTTGCTTTGTTAAATTACATTTGTTATTGCACTAGTGAGAGGAAGTGTTTAAATATAATTATAAATATTTCATGCCTTACTTTTTAAGAACGTGATGGTAAAATTAACATTAATTTTGACTTTAGAATTATAAATTATAAAACCTGTTTACTAATTGTGTTGTGTCCCAAGTCCCAAGATCCCAGACTTACAAAAAAAATTATAAAGGTTGGAAGAGTTTTTTTTTTAAAGTTGTATTAGTTCTTTGGTTATGATTGCTTTGTTAGTCCTTTTAGATCTGAAAATAGTTTAATGACAGTTTTAGCACACAGTATTGCTGTATTCAGTTTTGGTTTGTTTAAAAACATTTTATTCATAAACTATGTCAAGTAGTCTGTTTAGGAAATAAATTAACTATATATGGTTTTTTTTTAAAAAACAATATTTATCTGAATGTATTACATTTCTTGCTGATCTGGCATTTTCTTGCTTTACATCTAATATGAAAATACATAGACATATTTTAATTGCAATCAATAGCAAAACCCAAAATAATATTTTCAAGGAATGTAAGGAATGTTGTGGTTAGACTTACAGTATATTTCAGTACTATGAAAACATCATCTCTGTCTTAGCAATCCTTTTTTTTTTTCTTTAAAGCTTTTCTTGAATTCAATAGTTGCTGTTAAAACATTTCTGAGATTTATTTCTCATGTTGGCTATGTAAGCTACACATAGGAATTAATTAATTTATGAACATTATTAAAGGGTATTAATTTAACGTAAAAATTCATGCTCTTCCTCATTTGAATATTTTTTTCAACCATACCAATGGCATATATCACTGATCCTTAGTTAACTGGAATTTTCTGCAAGAGGAAGTATTCTTTTTCTCAACTCAGTTTTGATGTAGTCCCAATCACTACACTATAATTTTCAAAAGCTGTTATAAATTGCTAGGAGAGTTACACTAATAATAGCCACTCCAACAATAAATGGTGATGGTTCTATTATTTAAAGGTTTCACAATTTGTTACCAGTACGCTTTGCTCATGGAGAGCTTGAATTCCACTAAACCATATTAAAAGTACTTTTAATGAGCGAAACACAAGAATTTGCTTTATCTAGGCTACATAATGCCACATCTATTTTTTTTTTTTTGTGCAAACCCACTTAGTGTTATCAATGAAAAGGGGAATAAAAAGTTTTTGTACAAACTTATAGTAAGAGCCTTCGGTGTCCCTTTCCAATGTTTACAGATTTGATCATGACAAGCCCATTTACGAGTTTTCTTTTGCTGATAAATTGTTAATTTTTTAAGTGCTTTATTTTTTTATTTTTAAATATTCATTTGTTTATGTAACACAAAGTGACATAATTGATTGAAGGGTGTATCTCTCATTGAATAATCTACACACTTAGTCACTTTGATTGTGTCCTTATTTTCAGTGCGTTTAATTCTGTACTAATTGGGAAAGTTGATAACCCGTCTGAAAGATAGTCTCCTTTTGAGTTGAATATGGCACACTTGGCCGTTGGAATCAATTCAACAAGCAGATCTACTTAAATGTATTGTGGCTTGGTTCATTGGCACTTGAGGGAATTTATTTTTTTTAATGAATAATTTTTCTTAATGAATAATTCAGGATTGGCTGGTTAAGGCCTCTATGTGGAATATTGCAGTACAGCATTAATCCACATTATTATTTTAATATGATATATACTGTGCATCACTATCTTAAGTGAACTGGTGTCCAGGGTGAGGATTATCATCTATTTTGCTTGGCATCAAGTTGTTTTGACTAACCTGGTGTTCAAACTGGTTATTCCTTTCGAGTTGACCTGCATTTCTTAATACCATTGTCTTTATCAACTAGTCAGTTTGGTTTACCTATTTCTTTTTTTATACATATCCTTAATATCTTATTTCTAACTATCCCGTATTGTCCAGTACGATTTCTAGTGAGAAAAAATAAAAACAACTTGATGTATGGGAAATGATAAAGGAATTACTTTTTAAAAGCAATTTTGGTATTTGAATCTGACACTTAAAAATGCCAATGTGGGTTTACCAATAATAGAGTTACAGTTAACACTTAACGACTAACACATGCCAGGGTCTGGTCGCTTTACCAATCTAAAATTTCAATTTTTTGGGATCTGCCAGAATGATCTCTGTTTGAAGGAAAACGTTAAAAATTTTGGCTGAAACCAAAATTTTGATATGTGTCATTTATAACTGACTAATAATTTTGCTGTGAGTTTAAAAAAATTTATTTTTTTGGCTGTTGATTAAATATTTAAATTGATGAAACTGTAATTTAATAAATAAAAGTGAAATGGTTATTTGTATTGCAAAAGTTTGATGAACATATTTGTTTGCAGTATTCTTGACTTGCTGGAAAAATCCATTTAAATAGTATTATGATTTTTTTGGCATAGCGAATCCTACTAATAAGAAAATTATGCACTGGGTGCCCTAATGAGAACAGCTTATGTTTAAATGGACTCAGAATGGAGAGTTGCATAAAACTCTTAAACCTCTTGGCTAAATCTTTGAAGAGTTATGATGCACCCAGCCATTGTCCACTATTAATAAGGAATTATTAATATAAATGTTGCGCTAAGCGAATCCTAATCACTACTCATGTGTTCTTAATTCAACTATTTTTTTTTGTAAATAGACCTTTGGGTTCTGCATAAGTTAGTATAATTCTGTAAAACCAAATATTTTGTTGAAAAATTTTATTATTTTTGTTAACTAATGCTCTTCATCCATGAATTAAAATGAAACAGGCTCTAACATAGAAGTTGATATGGCTTGTCTAGTCAATTGTCATGTTCAACGTTGATGGCTTAATCCCACAATTATTTATAGTCATCTATAACTTGAGGCTGAAGAAGCTATGAAATGTTATTGTCTTCTCTCCACATTTATGCAAACTCATAATTATGATTGAAGAAGGAAAAAAACAATTATTGTCCAATGAAACTGGTCTATTGATAATGCAAAACACATGTTACTGTTACTATTAGCTTTGATTTTGAAGGGTCTATCCCTATTACAATACATGTTATTATAGTCCATATGTTTAGAATGATATTTTTGTGTGTGTGCAAAAACATGCATTCCAATGTAAATAATGTAATTATAGAATTACAAAGAGTTAATTATAATGTATTATTATTATTATTATTTGGATGTGACTTAATTTTCAATGAACAAAATCTGGCTTTGTCTTTTCCAAGATTCAGACAGAAGCTGCAGTCCCTTGATGTTATTCTCACTATTTTCTCCCAAATAAAAAGTGTATTTGTTTGTTTTTTGTATACAAGTATGATCCAACTTACTTATCACTCTGTATTAATAGTGATTGGTCATTTCCCGAGGTCGACCTTAGCTAATCCTTCCAGCTCTTTAAAAAACCATGCTAAGGCTTATTCAGAATGTGGTGGAAATGATCATTGTAATCAAATAACATGTGAAATTATATAAGTATGATTTTCAAATATGACAATTTTTAAACCTGATCTTTTGAACTAAAATAAAGAAAAATAGATTTCCAGCCACACAGAAGCAATATAAATATTCGGGAGAGAGTGTGGTGGTGTAAATGAAACATATGGCTAACAAAATATAATATAGTTAAACCAGAGAAGTTTTAAAAAAATGTTGTTGTTCCAATAAATAATTTTATAAAACTGTACTAACAAACGTTGGCTGCCTGATATCTAACTAATCACTTTGATTTTTAAGTGTGACGCAAATTGGCATTTTGTCCTTAGAAATGTACATATTTCAACTGAAGTCTATTAATATTATATGATTTAGTGTTTGTTTAAAAAAACAAAAACAAATAAACCCAAACACTCTATTCAAATGTTTTGATCCATTGATCAGCTTCCCTTTCCTTTGAGGCGCTAACAAGGACTGCAGCCAGCCGACCTGTATGCCCCTTCAAGCTAACAATTCATTATGTGTTGATGTCTTGCAGTATTTTTCCATGACCTATTTTGGTCTAATCTGGTGATTGGTCCATCTAGAAATCCTGTGATTTTAAGCCTGGGAGAGCAGGGTCATTGGCTTTTTTTTGTGTGTTGGTTTTAGTTTAGCTACCAACATTTTCCAGAGTTGATTATGTGCTTGAATTTAGTCTCATGACAAAAAAAAAAAAGCTTATAAGCTCCTACATGTTTTTTCACTAATAGATTCATTTATTTTTGCAAGCTGTATGTAATATGCATATTTTTGCCTCAATTTTTTGACAATGCTCAAAAATGAAATATATTGCTCAACAACGTTGAAAGAGATAAAAACACCCTTAAATTGTCTTCAAGATTGGATAAATAATTAAATGGATAAATAGTTTGTTAAATTATATAGTATTAACATCCATCCATTTGAATGTCATTGATATTCGTTTTGATGGTGTTTTCTATATCACACTAATAAGATCTCTTTATATCAATATGTTACTTTGCTTCACAGAGAAAATGTCTGTCATGAAATAGCACCCTAGATTGTGGAGCACAATAATACTCTATTCTTGACTTGTTGGT